ATAGATAAGACTGTAGATAAATATTTGATGATGCAATAACAAACTGAAGAGACAGAGCTAGAAATAATTCCAGGATATGCTTAAAAGGGATTTACTGGAATGGGTAGCTGGCTTACAAATTAGTATTTTTTTTCTCAGTTAAATTTGACTCTATTCCTAGTCTGTTACTGACAGTGTGCTAATTGCTTGGGCTGCAGAAATAACTTTCCTTCTCAGAGCTAGATACTGTGTGAAAAAACAACTTGAGAATAATTTGTCCTTCAGGTCAAAGAATCAATCAGGTCAAAGAATCTCCCATTATAGTTAATTCATGAAATTCACAACCATAGATATGTATGGTTATATTTTTTTATTTGACACTAATGAAGTGTATGTACAGACAAATGTACATACATATCAATAACTTGTTTTTATCAAATATCAGAAATATCCTCAAAAATCAGTTATTTTTCAGGGCTCTAGATGTGAATGTGTCACAATTTATTCTCAATAGAATGACATCCTATATGCAATGGATTTTTATATTTACACAGATTTATACTATACACATGAGTTTTTGTGAGGTGGAGGTCTTACTAAGTAGCCTAGGCTGGCCACAATTCGTGATTATCTAGCTTCAGTCTCTCGTGTAGCTGGATTTATATGTATGCACCACTGATATATTTCAGATTTTGATAAAATTGAATTCATTTATTGTTTTGAACTATTAAGATATGAAGGATGCAAAGATGCATGATGCAAAATATCTTCCTTCAGTAAGCACATTGTCATAGGGAGAAGATGAGAGATTATAAACACTTAAATTTTTTTTGCCAGTACCAGTGTTTGAACACGTCAGGACCTTGCACTCATTCAGCTTGCTTGTTCATCTGGCGCTCTGTCATGTAAACCGGGATTCCAGTCAGCCTTAGCATTCTGCTGGTTATTTTGGAGATGGAGTCTTGTGTACTTTTCTGCCTGAGCTGGCTTCCAGGATATAGTATATAAGGAAAGGAACTTTAAAAAAAAAAAAAAAGCATCTCATATTATGCAGATTGAGCATCCCTAATTTGAAAGCCTAAAAATCTGAAATGATCCAGAATTCACATATATATATATTTATTGCTGGTACTCAGGGTTTGAACTCTGGCCTTACACTTGCAAAAAGCTAACCTAAAGGCATGACTCAAGTGGTAGAGTGCCAACCACAAGCAAGCAAGCTGAATATGAGTGAGAAGCACTGAGTTCAAATGCTGGCATGGTCAGTACCCAAGTTTTATTCCTGAAGTAGGTAATGTTAATGGTTCTTCAAATTATGTAAATGTAGCTGGCAGTCAGCTATGATCTTTGCAGCGGGCTGTGTTCCTTTTCTTCCCCTTTTCCTTTGATTGCTATAATCTGTGTATTGCTTGACTTTCTCACTCATAAATTTGTGAAATGCAACTTGGGCATATTATAACACAACATTGTGGACTGTGTGGCTTTTAAACAGTGGATATTTGTGTTACACTGTCCTAGAGGCTAGAAAGTCCAAGGTCAAAGTGCTGGGATATCTGGAGTGGGCCACTTCTGATTAGCTATACTCTCAAAATGCCTTCATAAGGGCACACATTTTATTTATGAGAGTCCTACCCTTAAGATTTAGTCACCAGGGCTGGGAAGGTGGCTCAGTGGTAGAGCGCTTGCCTTGCATGCATGAGGCCCTGGGTTCGATTCCTCAGAACCACATATGCAAAAAGAAAAAAGCTGGAAGTGGTGCGGTGGCTCAAGTGATAGAGCGCTAGCCTATCACTTGAAGAGCTGAGGGACAGCACCCAGGCCCAGAGTTCAGGCCCCACAACCAGACCCTTCCCCCCCCCCCAAAAAAAAAAGATTTAGTCACCTACCTTCTTAGTCCACTTCCCCTAAAGTGACTTATTTCACCCTGTAAATTTGGGGAGCACACAAGAATAATAATGAATTTCTGAAAAAGCAGAATCAAACTACAGATGACACTTTTTTGTTTTGGTGCTGGTCCTGGGGCTTGAACTCAGGGTCTCATGCTATCACTTGGCTTTTTTGATCAAGCTGGTGTTCTATCACTTGAGCCACATCTCCACTTCTGACTAATTGCTGGCTAATTAGAGATAAGGGTCTCATGTATTTTTCTGTCTGGGCTGGCCTCAAACTGGGATCCTCAAATGTCAGCTTCCTGAGCCACTAGGATTACAGGTGTGAACCACTGGTGCCCAACTTGCATAAAAGAAATATTTAAACATCAAGCTATTAGTTTACATTTTGGTTTTGACAGAATATCATGATTAAAACTTCTAATTCACATTCTGTAAGAGCACTGCCAAAAAAAGTCAGGTGATAACAAGGGTTGACAGTCATGTGGAGAGCTATATATGTTGCACTTGAAAATGTAAAACAAACTGCAAAATTCTAATAGTAGTTTCTCAAAGGGCTAAACATAATTACCATCTGACCAAGAATCCTTCCCCCAAAAAGTACACTCAGGTAAAAACTATATGCAAATGTCCATTATGCCATTGTTCTAGTGGTAAAGTAGAAACCACCCACATGTCTATCAACTGATAAATAAAATGTGATATATCTACACAAAGAAATACTGTACATCCACCAAAGGAAAGTCCAGAACTGATAGATGCTACCCATAAGGATGGACTTTTAAAACATTGTGCCAAATGGAATGGGGGTGTCTCTCAGTGTCAGGGCACTTGCTTAACCTGCAGTTTTGATGGCCATCTCCACAATAAAAAGCTAAGGCACAATGTCAAGTGGGGAAGAAAAAGCAGGCAAAAAGATCATACACTATACGTATGATTTAATTTACAGAAACAGAGCCCAACAGGCAAAGCTATGGGGATGTTTTTGCTTCCTTACCATTGGGGGAATGTGTGGGGTTTAGACACCCCTAGTATGTGCGTGCACTGAGGATTGAATCCAAGGCCTCGTGAATTGCTTAATATAATTAGTATCTGTTATTATTTTAGACATAATTTGGGATTCTCAAGCATTCTCATAACTAATATGCTTTTCTGTACATGACCTTTTAGTGTGAGATATTGAATAGAGTAGTAGTAGTACTTGAGTAGAGCATACTGGCCCATTCCTGTAATCCCAGCACTTGGAGGTCTAAGGCAGAAAGTTCACAAGTTTTAAGACCAGCCTAGACTACATAGTGAGATACATATTTTAGAAACAGGTTGAAATAGTTTTTGTTTTTGTCAGTCATAGAGCTTGAACTCTGGGCCTGGTGCTGATCCTCAGCTCTTCAGTTCAAGGCAAGACTCTACCACTTGAGACACAACACTACTTCCAATTTTCTGGTGCTTTATTGGAGATAAGTATTTCATGGCCTTTCCTGCCCAGACTGGCTTTGAACTGAGATCCTCATATCTCAGCCTCCTGAGTAGCTAGGATTACAGGTGTGAACTACCAGTGCCCGCCTGAACTATTAGTTTGTTAGTCCAACAACTATTGGCAGCCCTTTGCTCCGTTCCTGCCTTTACCACTATAGAAATAATTTATGTATTTGCATTCCCAAGCTCCCACTCCCATCTGGGTAGACATGTGATACAGTTCTACTAGGTGTAAATCCAAGACTTCTGGAAACCTTTCGTATTTCCAAAAGGGTAGGCAGCCTGTGTCTGACCCCACTCCTACTATTTCCTTCTCTAAACACTAATGTCCACGTTGGTAGCTCACACCTGTAATCCTAGCTACTCAGAAAGCTTGAGATCTGAGGATTGTGGTTCAAAGCCAGTCCAGGCAAAAAAGGCCATGAGACTCCAATTAACTACCAAAACAAGCCAGAAGTGGAGATTTGAATCAAGTGGTAGTTCCTTGTAAAGCTTGGAATGTGGCTTAGGTGGTAGAGTGCTTGCCCAGCATTCATGAACCCCTAGGTTTGATCCCTTAGTAGCACATAAACAGAAAAGACCAGAAGTGGTGCTATAGCTCAAGTAGTAGAGTGCTAGCCTTGAGCAAAAGAAACTCAGGGCCAGTGCCCACGCCCTGAGTTCAAACCCCAGGACTAGCAAAAGAAAAGTCCCTGCCGGGCACTGGTGGCTCATGCCTGTAATACTAGCTATTCAGGAGGCTGAGATCTGAGGATCATGGTTTAAAGCCAGCCCAGGCAGAAAAGTCTGTGAGACTCTTATCTCCAATAAACCACTTGAAAACCGGAAGTGGCGCTGTGGCTCAAGCGGTAGAGTGCTCGACTTGAGCTGAAGAGTGCAGGGACAGCGCCCAAGCCCAGAGTTCAAGCCCCACGACCGACAAAAAAACAAGTCCCTGCAACAGCCCTGTTTTGCCATCCATCCGTCTGTCTGTCTATCTATTGTATAGATGTGTGTGAGCTATACCATTAGCCCCAATTAAACATTATTACTTGAGCCACTGTTGGGTGTCTTGTAACAGAAAGTGTTCTCTCTCTCTCTCTCCCTCTCTCCCTCCCACTTCTCTCTTTTTTTTTTGTCAGTGTGGGGCTTGAACTCTGAGTCTGGGTGCTGTCCCTGAGCTCTTCAGCTCAAGGCAAGTGCTCTACCATTTGAGCCACAGTGCCACTTCTGGTTTTCTGGTAGTTAGAGATAGACCGAGATCCTCAGATCTCAGCCTTCTGAGTAGCTAGGATTACAGGCGTGAGCCACCAGCATCCAGCTTTCTCTCTTTTTAAATTCAGGGCTTGGGTATTATCTGTTAGTGTTTTCATTCAAGGTTGCACACTACCACTTGAGCCAGAGCTCTACTTCTGGCATTTGGGTAGTTAATTGGAAATAAGAGTGACTTTCCTTGCTGGCTTTAAACTGCAATCCTCAGATTTCAGCCTCCTGAGTAGTTAGGATTGTAGGCATGAGCCAACAGAGCCCAATTCTGAAGGTATTCTTAGTTGGAATAAATGATGTGAGTCTAATATTTTGGAAGCAGTTTCAAGTTTTCTTGCTAATTTGTTTGTGAAACTATCATAAATTATTTCCCAGTCTCTTTTTGAAGATGAAAAAATTGCAAAGAAACAATTTAAAATAATAGATTTTAATATAATGACTTATATGTGTGCACATATACTATTTTAAAAATAAGCATGTAAATTATAATCATTATAAAACATAAATCAGCCCTAATATGTTATCAGAATAGAAGAGCATGTACAGAGAAGTCAGGCTAACATTGTTGCACTTGTTAAAATTAAACACATAAAAGATTTAGCGCATTGTATTTTATCTTATTTCAGTTTTCATATTACCATTCAAGTATAAATACCCTTAGGAATGTGCCATCTTATAACTTACATTCAAGTAAAACCAAAATCTCTTAACAATTAGTAAGGTACAATTAAGTCACTTAAAATGAGTAATCTAAAAAAAAACACTAGCCTAAATTAAAACCCTGAGGAATTAAAATCTTTTTACACAATAGTTTTGGTTAAGTGCAGTTCCATGTACATAAAGACTACTTTAGTTAAGGTCATATTTGGTAAGGCATAGTAAAAAATAAAATCTACATAAGTAACAATCTAAACTATATTTAATTGCTTGCTACAAAGTGATTTTGTTTTCTTAAAAGTCGTTTTTGCATGTCATTCTGGACCTCTTCACCCATCTGCTGGCTTCTTTGCTGTATATACATAAGTTAAAATGTGTGCACTAAGCTGAGCTGCCTTTAAAATGGTGATTCAGACATGATGCACTGAAGAACTACATGTTAGAGAGTTCGTGTCCGTGCTCAACCATGGCCTGCACAAACTGCTTGAAGACGCGATCCATGTAAGTGCATTGCCTTGGCCAGATTCCCTCCAGAAAACCAATATGGCCTCCATAAGAAGTAAGGACCAATGCCACATTAGGATTTTGCTTAGCAGTTTCTATTGGAATAGCTTGAGGAAAAGAAGGGGAGGAAGTAGAAAGGGGGGAAAAGAAAATTATCATTTTTTATTAGGAAAAGTATATTCTTTATCCTTTCTAATCAAAACAAACTACACACCATTAAACAAATATTTGTAATGAATGTGGATAAATGGAATGAGACTTACTAATTTATAGAAACCACTTATATTCTTAGTTCATATTTGCACACATGTACTGATTGATTCTTTTAAAAGAATCAACCCAAGATTTAATTGTAACACAGGAGTATACCTGAATCTTGCTTTGAGAAATTAATTTTAGCACATTTGTGAGAGTTGTAAATTATTATGCATGACTTTGGTTAACTTTGCATAAAGTTATAGATCCCTGAAGCCAACTTGTAGCTATGTGAAGGTTCAAAATTATGCATCACAATTTATATATTACAAGTATATAAGAACTCATAAATGTTATAGACTGTGATAGACAATTTGCTCCATGAAAGTTAGAATGTGTTTGTGACTTTAACTAAGCATCACTATCCCACAATACTGTAAAATTTGGGAAATTATGTAACCATTTAATCACAATAAAAATTTTGAAAAAAAAAAAAAAAACACAAGTGTATAGAAGGCTGGATGCTGGGGGCTCACGCCTGTCATCCTAGCTACTAAGGAGGCTGAGATCTGAGGACGATGGTTTGAAGCCAGCCCAGACAGGAAAGTCCATGAGAATCTTATCTCCAATTAACCACGAGAAAACTGCAAGTGCAACTGTGGTTCAAAAGTGGTAGAGTGCTAGCCATGAGCAAAATAGCTCAGGGACAGCACCTAGACCCTGAGTTCAAGCCCCACAACCGGAAAAAAATAGATAGCAACAAAACTTTTTTACCCAAATGTCAACAGTATTTATCTCTAGCTGAAAGAGGGATGATTACTTTTCCTTCTTTAAATTCCTATTCATACTCTAGAGAAAAATACTTTATTTTGAAAACAAAGTTGCTATAAATATTAGATATAATTCACCAGCAATGGCAATCTTTTTATGGGTTGTACAAAATCAAGCCCGAGAATAAGCTAAAGGATATGAATTAAAAGTTTTTTTTCCTCTCTTTCTTCTTGCTTTTCTTTTCTTTTTTAATGCCAGTAATGGGGCTTGAATTCAGGGCCTTGTGCTCTCACTTAGCTTTGTTTCTCAAGGCTGGTGCTCTACCATTTGAACCACACTTCTACTTCTAGCTTTTTCTCTTACCTCTAATTAGAGATAAGAGTCTCACAGACTTTTCTGCTTGGGTTGACTTCAAACCTGATTCTCAGAGCTCAGTTTCCTGAGTAGCTGGGATTATAGGTATGAGCCACCAGTGCCCAGCATTATTTTATTTTCTTTGCCAGTACGCATGTTTGAACTCAGGGCCTTGTGCTTGCTAGGCAAATGCTCTACCATTTGAGCCAAGCCCCAGCCTTGTTTTATTTTTTTCGTATGCTTAAGAGTGCAGACAGTGATTGTGTGTTTGTTCATGCTGAAGATTGAATCCAAGGCCTCATGAGTGCTAAGTATACACACTACTGTTTAGTTTTCCCCAATCCCTACCCAGAAATATCTGTTACTGTTAGTTACAGTCATATCAGAACAAAGGCTGAGTCATGTGAAGCATGCTGGCTGCCTGTTCTCCTAGACTGCAGACAATTGTCCACTATTTTCAGTTTGGCAAGACTATTTAAAGGGCTTGGGAAATAAGAAATAATGAGTTTAAACTTCACCCTAATGGGTCAGATCCAAATGTTGGGAAATTTTTGTTGGTAGCAAGGCCAGTGAAATAGAAAGAAAAAAGTGGACTAAAAATATACAATTTTAATCCAGTAAAAAATATGCTAAATAATCATCTGACTTTCAAGTTCACAGTTTCATTTTCTGATCAATGGCCCAAAGTTTATTGTTGTTTGCTTTTTTTTTTTTACAGGTAACAAGAATAGTTTTAGGACATCATGATTGTAGATGATTTTGTAAATAGACCAATAGATAATAATATAGCAACATATTAGCATAATTTTAATTTTTCTTATCACAGTAAAAGTCAAGACAATTATTTATATCAAAATCAGCTACACTTGGAATATATAAGGGAAGAATTTTACTTGTGTAGATCAGCTACATTCTTTTTTTTTTGTCCAATAAAAATATGCTAAATAATAAACTGACTTTTAAGTTCCTAGTTTCATTTTCTGATCGATAACCAATGACCTGAAGTTTTTGTTTGTTTGTTTTTTTCTTTCTTTTCTTTTCTTCTTCTCTGGGCCTGGACACTGTCCCTGAGCTCTTCAGCTAAAAGCTAGCACTCTAGCAATTGAGCCACAGTGCCACTTCCTGTTTTTCTGGTGGTTAATTGGAGATAAGAGTATCACAGACTTTCCTGCCCCAGCTGTATTCAAACCTCAGATCTCAGTTTCCTGTAGCTAGGATTATAGGCACGAGCCACTAGTGCCTCACGCATAAAATGCCTTTTGAAATTTCTGTTAAGAATAAGTGAGAGATCAAGCCTAAAGATCTTTAAGACAATGTAACATCTTACATTATTTCAATAGATTAAAGATAACCTTTCAAAGTAAGAGAGAAGAAAAGTTAATTTTGGAATATTTTTTTTCTTTAATATCCAGAGGAGAAACTGTTTGCTTTTAAATTTGCTCCCATCATTGAGTTATACAAGGCCACTATGTTCACTCTCAGGTTAACTAACAGGTTAATAGGTTAACTCTCATGAAAATTTCTAATTCTTTTGTATAACAACCCTATGAAAAAGAGCCAAGTGATGAAAATGTTCTTCTGAGGCAAAGAAACCGCAACAAAACAGTTCAAAGAATAGTGCATTTGATAAGAAGGAAAGGTTTATAGAACAAGCAAAATATTGTCCTGCATCTTACAAGGGACTAGATAAGGACTGAAAACATTTCAGAGTGATGGGAAACATTAGATACTAAATAATGACTGTCAAGTTGTATGTGTGTGTATGCATGTGCATGCACTCGTGTGCATGAGCCAGTACTGGGGCTTGAATCCAGGGCCTGAGAGCTTTTTGTGCTCAAAGCTATCATTCTATCACTTGATTCACTTGGGCTCTTTTTTTTTTTTTTTGTCGGTTGTGGGGCTTGAACTCTGGGATTAGGCACTGTCCCTCAGCTCTTCAGCTCAAGGTAAGCTCTCTATCACTTGAGTCACCATGCCACTTCCTGTTTTCTGGTGGTTAGCTTTGAACCATGATCCTCAAATCACAGCCTCCTGACTCGCTAGGAATATAGGCAGGAGCCACTAGCACCCAGCTTAGTTAGTTTTTGTTTTTATTACAATATAAAACATTATATGGCTGATACTTTTTAAAAAATCACTGCATTTCTTTAAAAAGAATGGTATTTTAAAAGTTAGTTCATGTCCAAATATATTTATTGAAGTTAATTTTACCATGACTGGGTGAGAAAACATCATCCACAGAATTCAGGCACAGCACGGGAATCCTTACTGACTTCAGCCTCCGGTTTGGACTGGCATCAGTATAATAGTCATCAATTGTCCGGTATCCAAACATGACTGAAGTGAATCGTTTATCAAACTCTCTAATAGACTTAGCCTGAAAAACATATACAAATTCGGTTGATTCTTGGAATCAAAAGAAAAAACTTAAAATATTGCATAAAGTTTCTCACCTACCTTCATGACATGATCCATATCAATTTGTTTAACAAACATATGCCGGTGCCTGGAACAAAAGAATTTCAAAACTAAAAGTTAAGGTCATTCCTATCTCAATCATACAAGTAAATAATCTAGCTCAGAGCATAAAGTTGGTATGTAAAAAATACGTGCTTAATTAAGATGTAGGAAGATTTTATTGTGAGGTATTATTATTACTTGGCATTATTAGGATTTGAACTCAAGAAAGAACTTGCACTTACTAATAAGCAGGTGCCCTACCACTTGACTTTGCCTCCAGCCCTGAGACTATGTTTTTTGTTGTTGCTGGTCCTAGGGCTTGAACTCAGGCCTGGGCATGGTCCTTGAGCTTTTTTGTTCAAGGCTGGCACTCTACCACTTTGAGCCACAGCACCACTTCTGCTTTTCTGGGGGTTAACTGGAGATAAGAGTTTCACAGACACTCCTTCCTGAGCTGGCTTTGAACCACTATCCTCAGATCTCAGCCTCCAGAGTAGCTAGGATTATAGGCGTGAGCCACTGGTGCCCAGCCCTGAGATTGTTTTTAAACCATTTTTTATGTTTTAGGCCAACAAATGGAAATGTTTGTTGTGCTTATTAAAGAAAAAATTCAGTGCTGTCAGGATAGAGGTATTACTCATTTCTTAATTTATCTATGCTGTAGTCTCAGTGAAGACTTAAAAACTTTTTTTCAAATAGTTGTACACTTTTTTTTTTTTTTTTGGTCGGTCGTGGGGCTTGAACTCTGGGCTTGGGCGCTGTCCCTTGGCTCTTCAGCTCAAGGCGAGCGCTCTACCACTTGAGCTACAGCGCCACTTCCGGTTTTCTGGTGGTTTATTGGAGATAGGAGTCTCACGGTCTCTCCTGCCCTGGCTGGCTTTGAACCACGATCCTCAGATCTCAGCCTCCTGAGTAGCTAGGATTACAGGCGTGAGCCACCAGTGCCCGGCTAGTTGTACACTTTAACATGTCAACATTCTTTTAAAAAATTCAGGAAAAGAACTACATCCACAGTAATAAAAACAAATAAATATTGTTTCATAAAAAATTATACCTGCCTACTGATGCTAGTAAGCCAGTTTGATCATAAAGGTCTCAGTTAAATTACAATCTTTCCATTGGTTACATTATCTGGACATTGTTTTTTAAAATTATAATAATACAAATCAGATTTTATCTTCTTACATACTTATTTTTGAAATGTTGGTATTTTTCTTATACAAGACAGTTTATATACTTGTAAATGATTACACATTTATATATTTACAAGTTTTTATATTTATATAAACTTTACAGTCTCTAGTTTTCATTGGGACTTGAACACATGCTCCACCACTGAGCTACATCTCAAGTGGCATTTCAATTCAAATCCCATTTCATTCTCCATGCTATTGTCCCCATTTCAGTGACCACATGTAAGATCATTTTTAATCATCACTATAATAATATGATGAGTCAGCATATTTACCAACATGTATAATTAAGATCTCTAATTTAGTAAGGTTAAATCCAATATTTAATGTCAACTTTCAGGATAGCTATGGTTTTCAATGAGTTATATGTGAATTAATTGTACTTTCATTTAGAGTTTAAACCTATCAGTGCATTTCAAGGGGTAGAGTGAGTGATATGGCTGGGGTGTAGTTTAATAGTAGAGTTCTATGTTCTTTGCTATCATGCCAATTTATTAGAAGATACATAAATAATTTTGGAAATATTAATGTAAAGAGTATTTTAGGGGCTGGGAAGGTGGCTCAGTGGTAGAGCGCTTGCCTTGCATGCATGAGGCCCTGGGTTCGATTCCTCAGCACCACATAAGCAAAAAGAAAAAAGCTGGAAGTGGCACTGTGGCTCAAGTGGTAGAGAGCTAGCCTTGAGCTGAAGAGCTGAGGGACAGCGCCCAGACCCAGAGTTCAGACCCTACAACCGGACCCAAAAAAACAAAAAACAAACAAAGAGTATTTTAGTAGTAAATCCGTGAGCTAAGACAATACATGTGAATTGCCTTCTATTTCTAAAGCAGGCCATGATCATAAGTACATACTTATATAATCAACATTGATTATATAACTGGTGCCCGAAGCCAGGCACCAGTGGCTCATACCTATAAATCCTAATCCTAACCATTCAGGTGACTCATGTCTGAAATCCTAGCTATTCAGGAGGCTGAGATCTGAGGATTAGGGGTTCGAAGACAGCCCAGGCAGAAAAGCCCCTGTGAGACTCTATGTCTAATTAACCACCCAAATACCAGTAGAAGAGCTATGGTGCAAAGTGGTAGAGCGCTTGCCTTGAGCAAAAAAGCTCAGGGATGGCACCCTGACTTCAAGTCTATGAATGACAAAGAAAAAAGCATGTAAAATATCACTTACTTCCTGGGAAAGAATTAGGTCTTGACAAGATGAACAACAAGTAGAAAACCTAGGTGGCCCATAATCTTACCTAACACATTCCATACTGATGTTTTCAGTCTTTTAGAATAATTTAGAATTAGTGATCTTCAAGGTACAGATCTCTAATTCATGAGTTATACAAGACAATTTGCTGGGATAAAGGAAAACATTATGACTTTTATCTGTATTTTTAGTTTCTGCTTGTAACTTTGTTTTTATATGCATTCATAATATAGAGAATACTTTGATAAAATAGTGTAAATTCACATAACATATAAGACATATACTGGCAGTATTGTTTAAAAATTTTTATCCTGTTAGAGCGTGTAATCTAAAATGTTTGGAGACAAAAGTTTTAAAGCTGACTTACTTATTAACTGAGGACTGGAGACAGGTTGTCAAATAGTAATTAAAAAGCAGCCAGTTCAGTGGTTTCTCTAGTGACTCCGAGCAGGCAAAAGTATTCCAACCAACTGAAAAAGTTGCAGCTGCCATCAAAGGAGTTTTAGGCCCAGTTTTGCCCAGGTAATTCAGAAGTAGCATTCTAAAATTGGGGAGAAACAGGAAATTTAGTAGTTTGTCACATCTCTCAAGCTAGCTCATGAAAATGACTGTACTACTTGCATATATTGCGATGGGTCACTAAGCCATTAAAAGACAATACTTCCTCTCTGGTAAAATGTTTAGGCTTCTAAATTAAGAGGCCTTAAATGGCTGGGATATAGCTGGGAAGCTGATAAAACGCATAAATTACCAGGGTTGGAAAGAAAACTCAGATTCAAAAAAAGACATCACCACAATAGGTAGGAATTATGTTTATCATTGAGGATCAGTATAATATTGATAGTTTCTCCCTGAAAGGTTGTTTTACTTTGACAGTAAAAAGACCTCATTTTCTCGATAAAAGAAAAAAAAACAACTAAAAGAGGAAGAAAGAGAACAAATCACAATTAAGGAATTTAAGAAGCATGCCAAGCCTACAGTTATTTGGTTCTTGAACTACATAACCATAAAATCAAGTGAACAAACAGATAAGTGGATAAATGACATTGAATAGTTGATGATACTTAGGAATTAGTTACTTTTGATCAGGTATGATAAGGGCATTGTGAATTTTTGCTTGTTTTTGTACTGGGGCTTCAACTTGGCAGGTGCTTTATGGCTTGAGCCATACCTCCAATTCTTTTCCTTTTCATTTGTTTTTGTTTTTTTGTTTTGTTTTCTTCATGAATACTGATCTACCACTTGAGTCACACCTGTAGTTGTTTTTTTTAAATAAAAATTTTTTTATTTGTATTTATTTATTTGTGCCAGTACTAGAGCTTTATCTCAGGGCCTTGTACATAGCTGGTGCTCTACCACTTGAGCCACAACTCCAGTTCTGGCTTTTTTTAAGTCTTTTAAATTTTTATTAGCATAAATTAATTGTGTAAAGGCATCATTGCAGTGATATTTGAAGCACACAAAGTACTTTGATCAAATTCACCCCATATATGAAGCCCACCAAAGACTGTTAAAAAGGAAGAAAGAGGAGGGAGGAGTTTTAGAGAAATAGGATTATCCTAAATCATTATTTTTTTCCAGTCTAATTTTATTCACAATTAAATGCATTTTAATCATTGTAATTAACACCTGCTATTTGACATTTTTCAGGGATCTGATATCCTAGCGGTAAACCATGGCTTAAATGAAGGAAAGATTTTAAAATGCTACTTACTGTGTGGTGCCTTTCCCTTCGCTGTCCCTTGCCCCTCAGGTTTGCTGCACCTAACTCCTAAGAAGAGGGGTGAGGGAATCACCGCCTCCCCTATCACACTACAGGGCAGTTTTATTCATTAAATCATTAAAGAAGTAGGATAATGCATATTTCTAGAAATTTAGCATTTAAAAACCAGAACTAAAATACTTTTAATATGGTCAGTTATGCAGTGATAGGTAACTAGAACACATTACCACTACTTTACATAAAATATTAAATTATTTCCCACATTGTTACAAATTTTCCAAATAGTTATTGTTGAACAGCAAACATTGCAGCCCTGAAAGTTGGGGTTGTTTTGCTCTGCGTGTGAGTGTGCGGGATGGGTGGTTTTGCTCTGTGTGTGTGTGTGACTTTTCACTTTTTGTTGACTCACATCTTATTGTGAATTTGACTCTACTGCTAAATTATTGAAGTATATGCCAAAGTTTTATCTTAAATTTGCAATAAGGGAACAAACTTCAAGAGAGGAAATTCAAAGATTTCAGAATTCTTGATAGAGGCATTTTAATGGAAGAGAAGACATGAGAAGTTCTAGTTAAAAATCATATTAAGTGAAGTAAGCCAGACCCAAAGAAACACAGTATATGCATAGGGTATTCCCGGGCAGAGAATCATAATAGCTCAATAGCTATGTACATAAGACCATACAAAATGATGCTAATTGAAATGCAGTTCTGGCTTGTTGCAGTTAATTAGAGGTAAGAGTCTCTCAGATTTGTCTGTTCGGGCTTGCTTTGGACCAAGATCCTCAGATTTCAGCCTTCTGAGTAACAAAGATTATAGGTGTGAGCTACCAGTGCCCAGCTTAGAGATTCCTTTTAAAGATACCACTAAAATATTTTTGTATTAATTTGTGTGTGTACCATTTCTGGAAGTATTGCAATACCAGGCAGATGGACGGCATAGACAGAATAAGCTCTTGTTCCACTCTCCATATCCCTGCTTCAAGCTGCACTTCTATAAATGAATGAGGATGTGTCAGATATTAAGATCATCAGAACAGATCAGAACTTGATCTTAGCACAAAGGCCAAGAAGTGACCTAACTGAATTACTTATTTTTGTGGTACTGAACCCAGGGCCTGGTGCATGCTAATCAAGTTGTTTTACTCCTGCACTACAGCTTCAGCCCCAGATGAAATTTTTTTTTTTTTTTGTCTGTCGTGGGGCTTGAACTCTGGGCCTGGGCGCTGTCCCTCAGCTCTTCAGCTCAAGGCTAGTGCTCTACCACTTGAGCTACAGCACTACTTCCGGTTTTCTGGTGGTTTATTGGAGATAGGAGTTTCACGGTCTCTCCTGCCCGGGCTGGCTTTGAACCGCGATCCTCAGATCTCAACCTCCTGAGTAGCTAGGATTACAGGCGTGAGCCACCAGCGCCCAGCCCAGATGAAATATTTTATGTAATGTCTAAAATTTAGTTAATAATAATGTCTTAGGAAAGAATAGAAAGGAGGATGAAAATAATGAAACAAATTATATATGTGTTGCTAATTATTGAAGCTGAATGAGTTTATGAGGATCCTCTTATCTACACACACATATATGTGTGTGTATGTGTGTGTATATATGTGTATATATATTTGGAAAGTGTGTGTGTGTGTGTGTGCTGGTACCAGGCTTGAACTCAAGGCCTGTCCCTTAGCTTTATTCCTCTAGGCTGGTGCTCTACTACGTGAGCCTGAGCTCCACGTCTGGCTTTTTGGTAGTTGGAGATGAAAGTCTCGTGACTTTGCTGCCAGACATAACTCTGACCTGTGATCCTTGGAACCACCAGTATCCAGCTTTTAAAATTCATTTATAAAGTTTGTTCATCAATTTTTTGTGATACCAGAGTCCAGGTCTAGAGTAGCATGGGTTCCTTGGCCCTAGTCAGTTCTGGCTTAAAGCCTGCCCTTGGCACCTAGCATCACAGGCTTGGGGATTACCCAAGTCCATGGACCACTGAACATAAGATTCTCCCTCAGACCATGCTTTTGTCAGTTCCATCTCTAAAAGAAAAAAAAAAACAAAAAACAAACCCCAAAACTGTCAAGCTTGAAAAAGCCGCCCCCAAACTATGTGCCCATGTGGGAATGTGTCATACTGCTAGGCAACTAGAAAGGGTGCTTCCTTCAAATAATTTACATGACATTAATATTCAACTAGCTATAAAGACTAGTGGTCACTTCTTGCCTTCAGGCACTGAGGCTTCAATGCCTGGCATGAATAGACACTTCCCAGGAGATTCTGAATAAAGAATCTAGGCCTGTTTATGTAAGGTCTGGCCTTTAAAAAAAAAAAAAGCCAAGAATTTATATGACTAAGGGATAAAAGTTCAGTATTCCCCCCATCCCTCAAAGGCTCATGTCACGGGGAAGGAAAAAAAAGCTAAATTCTGCCCATTCAGCACAACTGAGAAATTCTGCCTGGGTTTTCTGCATTGATTCAGATTTCTTCCTTTTGTAGGTCAAGTCAAACCTTCCATGCTAATGTAAGAGATGTATTCTTTTTCTTTGTACTTTTATGTTTATCAGAATCTAAAATGCTCTTGCTAAAACCTACTTTTCAAAGTCTAACATTCGCAATGTCTGTTTTCAAATATATATGACCCTAAGATACTCTGAAAACCAAAATGATAGATAAATCCATTACAAATTTAAGAAAAATGTCATTCTTCACTTTAAGTGTTTTCTGATTTTGGAGTAGAGCCAAGCTGTAGAGCATTTGTCTAGAATACAAGAAATCCTGAGCTTAATATCCAGCACACAAAAAGTAAGTTGATAAATAAGTTAAATTAAAAAGTAAACTGGGCACTGGTGGCTCATGCCTATAATCCTAGCTACTCAAGAGGCTGAGATCTGAGGATTGTGGTTCAAAGCCAGCCTGGACAGGAAAGTCTGTGAGACTCTAATTTCCAATAAATCACTAGAAAACCAGAAGTGGCACTGTGGCTTAAGTGGTAGAGGGCTAGCCTTGAGGTGATGAGTTGAGGGACAGCATCCAGGCCCAAAGTTCAAAGCCCATCATTGACAAAAAAAATTAGGAAATAGGTTTATATAGTGGCATGGAGGATTTAAGGCACAGTAAAATACTAGATAAGACTGTTGGATTTCCTTAAGTACAATGCCACTAGAACAATATAATAATTATTATTAGAAATAAGCTTAAATATAAACATGGCAAATAATTATTCCAGGTAAGTCCCACTGTAAGGGTAAGCAGCACAAACCCCAGTATTACGTTTAAAACAGCAGCTAGAGTAGATGAACAACAAAATTTCAGTTCCATTTGCCCAGAAACCAAACCAAATCAAATCAAATCAGAACAAAACAAACCTCCTAGGAGAAAATAATTTGAAAGGCCACTGGAGAGTGATTGTTTCTGAGACTAGAATGATGTATGTTATTGCTATAAATTCAGCATCCTGAGTTTCAATGCAGGGAATTAGAGGGGCAACATGCAATAAAGAGCTGCAAATCATCTCCAAGGGGTCAGGCAGTCTTCAAGTCTCACAAATCACCAAGGGCCCCAGCGAAGGACTTGTACCTTTATTACTACATAGCCAAGGCAAATATTAACATTTACCTAAAAGCTGGGTGTAGTGGCTCACAACTGTAATCCTAGCTACTCAGGAGGCTGAAGTCTAAGGATTGAGGTTAGAAACCAGCTCAGGCAGAAAAGTCCCTGAGATTTTTATCTGCAATGAATAAACACTAAAAAGCCACAAGTGGAGCTGTGGCTCAAGAGGTAAAGCACCAGCTGCAAGCAAAACAGGGTAAGGGACAGCACCCAGGTCCTGAGTTTAAGCCCCAGTACCCGTACACATACAAACACATGCAAAAAATTACCTGAATTCATTTCTTCTTTGTTTCTCTCAACCACGTGATAAGATGCAAATAAGCAAACACTTATTTTAAAATCTCTAGGTAGGGCTGGGAAGGTGGCTTAGTGGTAGGGTGCTTGCCTAGCATGCATGAAGCCCTGGGTTCAATTCCTCAGTACCACATAAATGGAAAAAGCCAGAAGTGGCAGTGTGGTTCAAGTGGTAGAGTGCTAACCAGGGACAGTGCCCAAGCCCTGAGTTCAAGCTGCAGGACTGGCAAATAAATAAATAATATAAAATTTGTAGCTAGCTTATAGTCCTCAGAAAGGGATACTGAGTAGGACTTCTTCTCTTCAGATATTTTACAAAGAGAAAAATCTTACCCTCCCATTGAAACTCCTGCTGCCAGAAAAGGAGCAGAAGGGAACAAGCTGTGAACATGGTGAATAACTGTCTCCAAGTCTTCAGTGTTAGCACAACAGTATGTCCTTGGTGTCTAGAAGCAAATGATAAGCAATAAATAATAAATATTAAAAGGTAAGATTATTTGCATAATATGTAAGAAGAACATGAAAGTCATAAACATGAAAAGCAACCATTCTTTACACATACTGTCAATAATAACTTGTTTTCATCTTTTCCATTATACATATATGCCATTTAAAGTCAACAGGATTCAAGTTGGTCCTAACAGAAAGACTTTTCAACATGCAAAGAAAACCCTGATGCAAGGTGGGTAAACTCAACAAAATTACTTTCAATTTAAAATATAATTTTCTAGCCAGGCACCAGTGGCACATGCTTGTCATCCTACCTTTGAGAAAGGCTGAGAACCTGAAGATGGTTCTAAGGCAGTCCTTGTAAAAACAAGATGTCTACAACACTCCATCTCTATGGAAGAAGATGGGTGTGGTGGTGAACGCCTGTCCTAGTTACAACAGGATTGACTCTACATAGGAGGCAAGATCCTATCTTAAAAATAACTAGCATGGGGCTGGGAAGGTGGCTCAGTGGTAGAGCACTTGCCTTGCATGCTCGAGGCCCTGGGTTCGATTCCTCAGCACCACATAAGCAAAAAGAAAAAAGCCGGAAGTGGCGCTGTGGCTCCAGTGGTAGAGCGCTAGCCTTGAGCTGAAGAGCTGAGGGACAGCGCCCAGGCCCAGAGTTCAGGCCCCACAACCGGACCGCAAAAAAAAAAAAAAAAAATAACTAGCATAAAAAAGCTCCAGAGCCCTAACTTCCAAACCCTATACTGAGAAAAAATTGTTTTAACCTCAGCTCAAACAAGTCTCCATCTTTGGAAGAACAGTAACTTTAGGAAGAAAAAAAAATAGAGAATTATATTTTAAACATGTTTTATTTGGGGCTGGGAAGGTGGCTCAGTGGTAGAGTGCTTGTCTTGCATGCCTGAGGCCCTGGGTTCGATTCTTCAGCACCACATAAGCAAAAAGGAAAAAGCCGGAAGTGGCGCTGTGGCTCAAGTGGTAGAGTGCTAGCCTTGAGCTGAAGAGCTGAGGGACAGAGCCCAGGCCCAGAGTTCAGGCCCCACAACCGGACCCCCCCCCAAAAAAAGTTTTATTTATAATATAAAGGTGATATGGGGGGGGTGTTATAGTTACATGTCAGGTAAAAGAGTACGTTTTTTGGACAAGGTCATCCCTTTCCTCAATCTTTCCCAGTTTTTCCCTCCCATCCCCACTCACAAGTTATAATTTTCAGCATAGTATTTAGTGAGTACCACTGCTGCTTTTGTAGAATTATACTTTTAATATATAAAAAAAGTATCAGTCCCTCACTCCCAAGCTAAAATATTTTTTTTTCCAGTCCTGGGGCTTGAACTCAAGGCCTAGGCACTGTCCTTGAGCTTCTTTTGCCCAAGGCTATTCTCTCTATCACTTGAGCCACAGCACCACTTCTAGCTTTCTCTGTGTATGTGGTACTGAGGAATCAAACTCAAGGCTTCTAGGCAAGCACTCTACCACTAAGCCACATTCTTAGTCCTCCAAAATAATTTGTTATAAAACAACAACAACAACAACAAGTGTCTGTAGCTAGGCGTAGGTAGCTCACACCTGTAATTCTACTACTGAGGAGGCTGAGATCCACTGATCTCAGATTGAAGCCAGTATGGGTAAGATAATCCTCAGATTCTTATCTCCAATTAACCACCAGAAAAGTGGAAGTGGAGCTATGGCTCAAAGTGGTAGAGCCCTAGCCTTGAGAAAAAAAAAAAAGCTCAGGGACAGTGCTCAGGCCCTGAGCTCAAGCCCTATGACCAACAAAGAATAAATAAATAGGCTGGGCACCAGCGGCTCATACCTGTAATCCTAGCTACTCAGGAGGCTAAGATCTGAGAATTGCAGTTTGAAGCCAGACAGGACAGAAAAGCCATGAGACTCTTATCTCCAAAAAAACCACTCAGAAACTGGAAATGGCACTGTGGCTCATGTGGTAGAGTGCTAGCCTTGAGCACAAAGAGGCTCAGGGACCGTGTCCCTGAGTTCAAGCTCCACAATTAACAAACAAATAAATAAGTGTCTGTGACTAGAGTATTAGAGGCCAACACAGGAGAATTATGAGTTTGAAGCCAACCTGAACTACATAGTGAATAAAATCCTCTTCCCTAAAAAGTGGTAAGTTCCTAACCAGAGAACTATTTCTCTATCCCCAACTCCATCTGTCAGTGAAGGAATAAAGGGCCTTTACTTCAGATACAGTAATGGCCAGTCTGACTTCTTTTTTCTAACTATGTCTAGTTAGCCTCAGCTGTGCTGAACATGGTACACTGCAGTAGGCACTGAACATGTTAAATTATGTAAAGCTGATTTTTGCCTCAATACATAATACATTAAAACAAATGGTTTTTATGTGAAATTCATCAATAAGGGCTTTGTTTAGAGCAGAACCGCATCCAAAATGCTTTATTTCAGATCTGCGAGGAGTGAATAATTCTCTTTAAAATACAGTGAATGTGCATGTGAATAAACTACTATAAGGAAAAGTATTATGACAGAAAATTATCTGGAATTTCATACCAAGGAGATAAACCATAACATTCCTCTAATAAAGACACTGAAACTAGTTATTGGCACCACCGTAATTTTAATGTTCCAAAACCATGTTCTAGGAAGATTATATAATTTATAAATCTGTTGATTCAATAATGAGTAGTTGGAAAAATTTAAATAATCCATACACTTAAACTGATCTCTAAAATACAACTTATTGTCTAATGTCATCTTTTTGATATATGCCTAGTGCTCTGGCTAGGCTTTTTTTGCTCACTGCTGGCTGGAGCTCTACTATCTGAGCTGTGCCAATAGTCCACCTTTTATGCCAGTTTAGAGATGGAGTCTCATTAACTTTTCTACCCAGGTTGGCTTCAATTCTAGGTCTCAGCCCCCTGAGTAACAAGGATTCCAGGTATGAGCCACCTGTTCCTTCCCTGAAAACATAACAGGATGGAATAGGAGAAACTCTAGGGCTCCTTGGCACAGGCTGAAATTTTCTTAATAGAGACCCAAAAACACAACAAATCAAAGAAAAGTTGGACAAATGGGATTGCATGAAACTGCAGAGCTTCTGCATGGCAAAGGACATAGCTAGCAAGATCAACAGAAAGCCCACGAATTGGGAGAAGATCTTCACTAGCCATACAACAGATAAGGGTCTCATATCTAAAATATACTTGGAACTCAAAAAATTAAATCCCCTAACAACAAATCCTCAAAGAAACAACTGCCTGATAAATAAGTGGGCTAAAGACTTAAAGAGAAACTTCTCTGAAGAAGAAATAAGAATGGCCAATAGACATATGAAGAAATGCTCAACCTCTCTAGCCATAAAATAAATGCAAATCAAAACAACATTGAGATTCCACCTTACCCCACTTAGAATCAAGAAATCTAATTACAACAGATGCTGGAGGGGATGTAGCCAAAAGGAAACCCTACTGCATTGTTGGTGGGAATGTGAACTTGTTCAACCACTTTGGAAAGCTGTAGGGAGGTTTCTCAAAAGACTCCACATAGAGCTCCCCACTATGACCCAGCAATCCCACTTTTGGGCATTTACCCAAATGATCACAAACAAGGCCACACTAAAGCTACCGGCATGACTATGTTTATTGCAGCATTTTTTACCATAGCTAAGATACGGAACCAACCCAGATGCCCCTCAGTAGATGAATGGATCAAGAAAACGTGATACACACACACACACACACACACACACACACACACAATGGAATCCTATGCCTCAGATCTTTTTTGGTGGTGGTGGTAATCATGGGCTTGATCTCAGGACTTGAGTGCTATCTCTGAGCTTTTGTGCTCAAGCCAAGTGCTCTATCACTTTAATCGACAGTTCCAATTCTGGTTTTGGAGGTAAGGGTTTCATGAACTTTTTGCCCAGGCTAGAACCACAATCCTTAGATCTCAGCCTCCTGAGTAGCTAAGATTACAGGCATGAGCCCCCAGCACCCGCCTTAATATTCAGTTTTGTTTTTGTTTTTTGCCAGTCCTGGGGCTTGCACTCAGGGCCTGGGCTTCTTTTGCTCAAGGCTTAGCACTCTACCATTTGAACCACAGTGCCCATTCTGACTTTTTCTATTTATGTCGTACTGAGGCAGTGAATCCAGGGCTTTGTGCATGCTAGGCAAGTACTCTACTACTAAGCCACATTCCCAGCCCAATACTTAGTTCTTCAAGGCCTTACTCACCTCCATAGCTTCATTAACCACTTCTTGGTGCACTTGTCTACTGTCTTTCTCTCAACCTGAGCACCAAATTTCTATGTCCTAGCAAGCAGCTTCACTGGACTGTTCTTGTTTTTCAAATGAAAAATGACCAAACTCAATCCTCCTTTTATAGAATTGTGATATTTCCTATGTCATTTCTCTCTTCATAAAAACTCTCCTTACTTCTCAGAATTATCCATTTTCCTGTACATAACATCTGTATTTCCTAGTTAATTATTAACTATAGGTGACCTTGCCTTTTTCCATAAGGCTGATAAACTTAAGACCTGCAGATGAATTCTCAAGTTCAAGCCCAGCATTGGCACAAATAAAAAAAAGAGAAGACAATAAAGAAAATGTTACCAAGCAGTTTATAGCTGTGAACAACTGGGACTCAATCTTCTTAGGGAACTCTTTGGGAGATTATGTTAAATGAGGCTTAAAAAAAAATCTCTAAAGAGCAGCAAGTAAGTTGGACTAATATCCACCATGTCCCTTCAGTCACTGCTTGAGGACTATTCCTAGAAGAAATGAAGCCTCCAGGACTTCTGGTGTGCCCAGGGGCTAGAGAAGGTCCTTAATCACAGAAGAAAGTTCTCACAGTTGATCACCCTCGGGTAGGTGTGGATTAGAATGCTGAGTACAAAGAGGGTAGTTAGATCTGGTTTTTACTATCTATCACTAGGCCTTCCTGCTTCTCACCTGGGCTGCAGTAATCATCAATTCACTGGGTAATTCCAGTATTTTCTTTTTTCTTT